TGCTTTATTTCTCCTGCTTTTCTCCCCAACGTTTGGATATAGCAGTTGAGGCACTGGGTAAAATCATTAGGCAGGAATTTGGCATTTCTGTCCCCAAGAAGTGGGAACTCAACATAGTAAAGGGACTGGGATTTTTGCTCCATACTGAATCATAAATGGACCCTATTTTATTGATTTGAACTTTCAGGCTTCCCTTGGCAACCTGGACTAGAAGCAGATAAACAAGCATTCAAGGATATAAGAGCTTCTTAAATGGTTTACTGTAGAAAAACTAATGAAGTCATTACAAAATAATTCCTTTGGCTGTGATGTATCAGGTCCAAACCCTATTTATAGTAAAATCAAGATTCAAATTCTTGCACCTTTTTCTTCTGGTCATGTGATATAACAGACTGTTATAGAACCTCTTTTGGGGTGGTAAGGATCTCCTGTTTTGGTAATGGCCTGTTCTGATATCAGACTGTTTCCTTATGACCATGTGAAAATTTGCTTTCACAGAAATTGTGGTAGACCCAATTCCTATACCTCCCTCTTTCATCCTCAGCATGTAGTAGAAAACATCCAGCAATTATGTTGTCCATTGACTAGATCCTTGCCTAATACTAGATCAATCAGTGTAAGTTTTAATAACAAAAAGATTGTGAAGTTGTGAACAGTTCTAACACAAAATCAATCTGTGTATGGCTCTACCTTTTGTTAACATGTCCCTTTTTGATAAGTGTTGCAGATACAATATAGATGTAACTTGATAACACATTGTTTTCTATATTCTCACTGATGCTGAAGTTCTTTGTTGGTGGTGGTGGTCAGTCATCCAGTCACTTCCAACTCATGACCCAAGGACAGACATGAGGATTGTTTTTTAGTAGCTGCTTCTTTCAGTTCTTATAAGCTCATGATAGTATCTAGCCACCTTTTCTTCTATTGACCTCTTTTTTATTGTCTTTCATTTTTTCAGGTCAGGTTTTTCACAAATAACTCTTGCCTTCATGTTATGTCTCAAAAATAGCTCTAGCTTCATTATTAGTGTTTCCAGTGAACAGTCTGGTTTTATTTTAAGCAGTATTGAATTATTTGTTCTCCTTGCAGTCCAGCTTATTCTTCTCCAGCCACACAATTCAAAGGCATCTGTTTTTCTTCATTTAGACCGTCTGATGGTCCTTCTTTCACAGCCATATGTTACAACAGGGAAAACTATGGCCTTGATAGTATTCACCTTTGCTGTCACCGTGATGCCTTCGCACGTTAATATGTTGTTTAGATCTGTCAACTTTCTCCAATAGTCTCTTTATTTCTTGGCTACAGTTACCATCTCTGTGAATTTTTGAGCCTAGGTAGATAAGTCTTTAGGAAACAGAAAATATTAATTTGTTAATTGTAGTCTTTGCTACACATGTATTTCTGTTTTTGATAGATAGAAATGGTTCATGAAGCAAGTCAAGTTCCCAAATATTTCTGGAGAGGTGATTTCTAAGTTGGGTAATTATGTCAGCAAAGCTTTGCTATAAAATTTTAATTTCTGGAATTAACACTTTCTTGCTTCTAAAATGATTTAAATAGTTTGCTCTCCTGACTGAGGATATTTACAACATCGAACAAGACTTTTTTCTGTTCTTTTGTTTCTAGTGCAAAATTGGTAATAACACAGTTCTAGTAATTTATTGTTGACTAATTCTATTCAGCGCAATTTCAGAATTCTTTCCTGTTCATATTTTTAACCAAATAAAGCACTGACTCTCCAGAAGTTTCTTTGCAGTGCATTTTTAAGAAGCCCTAAGTAGGTCTCAGTTATCCCATAGGTATTTACTCATATGTAAGACCTATAGATCTCAGTAGGACTTTCTCAAGGACTGGATCCTAAGGAAGCTTACCCAGTAAATTTTAAAAACTACAAACTGGGACCTTGCAATGACCTTGAGGTCCTATTCCACTATAGTATCTGTAATCTGCTTTCCAAATATATTGAATTTCTGAAGGTGAACCAGTGTGCAAGAGCAGGCTGCAGCAACTGTTCTCAATAATTTCTCAGCATATACAGTAGTACCTCTAGTTACAAACTTAATCCGTTCCGTGACTCGAGTTGGTCGCAACTCGAGGTAAATTTTCCCATAAGGTTCAATGTAAATACGGTTAATCCGTTCCGCCTTCGAATTTGATCGCACCACGAGGCAAATTTCCCCATAAGGTTCAATGTAAATACAACTAATCCGCCCTCCGAATTTGGTCGCACCACGAGGCAAATTTCCCCCATAACGTTCAATGTAAATACAACTAATCCGCCCTCCGAATTTGGTTGCACCACGAGGCAAATTTCCCCCATATGGTTCAATGTAAATA